ATCATTATCAATTGATTTTACATAAGAGCATGCTTTAGTCACCAGAAAAGCAAATATTTAGATAGAACATTTTTAAAGGCAGCACTTTGCATAAAACAATTCTATAAAAACTAAAGAAATTATAATTAAAATTTTACATATCTAACTTTTAAAAAATTATATTTTACATTTAAATAAATAAATTGTACTTTTCTGAGACAATTCTAAAAAACATGAAACAGCAAATAACCTTGTTTGCTATGAGCAACAAAAAATCTAGAGCCAATCCTGCTTTCCATCATTAATTTATTGAATATAAAACAAGTTAAATTGAAATTTGAGTAATTGAGTAACTTCTTAAAATGAATTCAATTTTTAGTCCAAATCTATATTACAATGAGCAATTATTTATTGTGACATTGTCACAATGCCAGGCTGCAATATTTTATCATATTTTTAATTTATTTAATTTTAAAATATATGCTCTCTACCTGAAATTAGTACTGTAGTGTCTTGTCCCTGTACATTATACTTTTCCGTTAGCAATGTAGTTGTGCCAGTCATCTACAGCAGTAGTCTGTGAGAAAATTTGGGTGGTCCATGGAGAAATTTGGACATTGATCAACTGAAGAATACATGAAGTATTAGGAAAGAAATGCAAAATGCTTAGTTGCTTTTTTTCACTCATTGGGGTTTTTTTATTTCAATCTAAAACCAAATACAAAGTGACTGTTATCAATAAAAAATGAACAATAAACAATATTGTGAGTGTGATTGTCATCCTTCGTGGAAAAGCACTAAGAATCCATAAACATATTTCAAACAACCAGCAACAAACTTTAGGCTTGCATTAATTTATTATAATTAAACAAGTGAATTTCATATTAATGTAGTAAAATTGAACTTTTATGATCATTATTCTACATATTTTATATTGTTTAAAAAAATTCATGATAGTGGTCTGCAGAATTCAAAATTGTGAGTTAGTTTCAGAAAGGTTGCAGACTGATGATCTACAGTATATACCTCTATTCAAGGGAAATTTTTTAATTGAAATAATGTGCTTTCCGATTTGCATCAGAAGTTGATATATAGTCAATCAGAGCCTCCTGCACCTAAGCTTTCCATATCTGTTCTTGAATTTCATTTATCTAACACCATTCTTAAGATTAAGGAAAGACAGAAGGACAACAATGGGCATTTATAGGTCTACAATTTTTTCAAATTGCAGCCCAATTATTAATACACCCAATTCTGTTCTTAGACAAGAGATACATGTCTGAAAAATCTACATTTAAAAAAGAAAAAAAAAACCTGTTCATGAAATAGAAAACTAGAAGATCAGTTCCAGATCTTAAAAACCAGTAAAAATAATGCAATCAAGGAATTAATATAATAAGACGTGTTTAAAAAAATATTTCAACTTTAGTGAATTTAAATCATTTTCATAAATTTCATTTTAATTTTATTTTTTATTTGATTTGTCCAATTAAACAAACACCAAAGTACCTCTAACTTCTAACACAAAATAGAATACAAAAACTATTCTGTATGGAAAGAAAGTAACTAATGCAGCAATACAAACAAATCATTGAACTTCAAGTTAAATATTTTCTGAAATGTTTCAATGCAGGATAAAGTCAGAATGAAAGCCTGACTATTGGCTACACACATTCAAATCATAAAAAAACAGCCAAATCTTAAAATTTGTATGTGTATGTAGCAGCCTTAAGTGCAAATTCTAGAAAAATTCCTTTTCTAGAAAATTGTCCTTTTTTTAAAACAAGAAGCACAATTTTCTAAAAAGGGATATATTAATATTTTTTCTTAAAATTAAAATCAAATGGTTNTTTTGAGTTATTTATTTATTTTACTGTTAGATGTATTTTGAGTTTTTTTTTGTAGATTCTTCTACAAAAGATTCTTCTAATAGATTAATCAATAGTTGTTCTCATTCTTACACACTGCAGAATTTGATTTAAGAAAACAAATATTCAAACTTGGTCAAGATCTAGTCTACTTTTTTTGTCATTATAAATTAAACCAGAGGTACTGAAGAGACACTGTATGTATGCAGAGTGCAATATTAGTAGTATTTGTAATATTCAAATTTCTTTATTGACATTATATTCAAGATCTCAAATCTCAATTACTTTCCAGCATTAGAGTATTTATGGAGAGTTCCCCTCTCAAGTTTAAACATATTTAATTTGTTTATTTTATTTTCTCAAACATTTTGATAAAAAAGGGAAACTTTAGTTTTCAAATATATTGAGTTTAATTAAATTTTTGAAATTTGGCCTAAAAGTAGAACTGATATCTAGAAATTCATTTTGAATTTTAATAAATAATTTAATTAAAATGCAAAATGAATTATTAATAATTAATCTTCATACAAGATAATAATTTAGAAAATTATCGAGTGTAAGGAAAAGATTTATTAATTCTGAACAGAAAGTTCTAAAATTTTTTATACAGTAGTAACTTTATTTTGCTTTTTAAAGAATTTTTACTCTAATTTTATAAGTTTTGATGTTCTATTATATATTCAATATTTATTTTTTAAAATTTTCAATTACAGCATTTATAATTTTTATTGAAAAATATAAACTACACGAATTTCTAATAAGCGATTTATATAGTACTGTATAATAAAATCGCAATTGATTTGTTTTTATATCGACAGTATTTGTCTTTCAATGTCATTGTTAAAGAAACAATAATGCTAAATGGGCGTTCATGGTATCGATGTTTACGTAAACGTCAATTAATACGATATAACCACGAATAAAATTCAGGATTGAAAAACTAAGCTTATTTTATATCAGAAACACTTAATGATGAAAGAATAGAGATTCCATAACATGTATAATCTGTCTAGTAAAAGCCCAGAATTTTTATTACTCGGTTATATCGCGTTTTTTTTCTGTCTCCTGATAACAAGTGGCTACTGTATTTCCAGTAAACCGTGAATACTTAAAAACTCTTTGGCTTCTGTAAATAATCAGTCATGAAAGATGATGTTATTTTATTAAGATTATTCTGGATGTTTTCAGATTCCTTCTTTTTCGCTTCCTCTTGCTTTTGAACATTTAACACTAATAAGCATCACACGTGCTGCTGCTCGTACTTCATTCACGTTCTTGCTGTTAATAGNAAAGTCAAAAGGAAGCATATCTGTATATGCACCCCTTCACAAGATATTTGCTTCCAAAGATCAGTTTTTCCTGTGTACCGGTATACTGCCTAGTCTCCATGTTCCTGTGTCATTGAGGCTCGCTATTGCTTGCCTTGATCAATGCTCTGCATGTAGTTGTACTCTTCGGTGCCTGCTATCACGTGCACCTCGGCATCCAGGTGGAGGCGAGCCTCTTTTTCTTTTTTTTTTCTTTCTATCTTATTAATATGGAGACTCTAGCCTATTGGCTTTTTCTCCGAATTACTCCACTTGGAATTAGGTAAAGCGGTTGGTGCGGTGAACGAAACGCTCCAAGATTTCAATATGTTGGCGAGGAGAAAGGTCGGTATGAGGCCAGTATATCGGAGTTAAGCCTCAGACTACCTAAAACTATATAACATCAAATATTTCACGAATAGTCGAGTGGGTTATTCAAATCCGGCATAGTTGTGTGGGCTAAGCCTAAACTACGAATAAGTAAAAAATAAAAACAAGATGTTTCAGATTCACTTGTGGCTTCAAGGACTGCTTCCTATTAAACTTTTCACAAATACTACCAGAAGGCAAAAGACCAAATTTTACATCCAAAGAAATCCTTTCATCTAAGCCTAATTCTTTTTATTCACCATGCAATAGCATAACAAGGTTTACAATTGTGCAAATATGCCAGCAGATATACATATCTATAATTTACTTTGAAAAAAATCACGAATAAAAACTTCAGTCTCACACATGGCTTATTGTTAAATTTGGCACTGCTGCAATCACTGCTGAAAGTGCATGCAGAGCAGCACTGCGGTTTTAAAATGGTGGATCTCGGTGCAGCTGTTAAAATGTTTTGTGAATTATTTAATTTAAAACATTTTAAAAGTAATTCATTTTTGTGATGCAAGACTTTGTTTGAGAGGTAAAATTAATGATTTAAATTTAATGCAAGTAGCTTTTTTTTTGCAGCATAAAGTAGATAGTAAAACATTATAAATATAAAAGTTTTATCAAATATTTTATTTTACTCATGAGTATTTTTTAAAGAAAAATTAGTACAAACAGAATATTGAATCAAGGTGATCAAAACGTTACACTTTTATTATCACATCGGAAGATCAGTTCCAGATCTTAAAAACCAGTAAAAATAATGCAATCAAGGAATTAATATAATAAGATGTGTTTAAAAAAATATTTCAACTTTAGTGAATTTAAATCATTTTCATAAATTTCATTTTAATTTTATTTTTTATTTGATTTGTCCAATTAAACAAACACCAAAGTACCTCTAACTTCTAACACAAAATAGAATACAAAAACTATTCTGTATGGAAAGAAAGTAACAAATGCAGCAATACAAACAAATCATTGAACTTCAAGTTAAATATTTTCTGAAATGTTTCAATGCAGGATAAAGTCAGAATGAAAGCCTGACTATTGGCTACACACATTCAAATCATAAAAAAACAGCCAAATCTTAAAATTTGTATGTGTATGTAGCAGCCTTAAGTGCAAATTCTAGAAAAATTCCTTTTCTAGAAAATTGTCCTTTTTTTAAAACAAGAAGCACAATTTTCTAAAAAGGGATATATTAATATTTTTTCTTAAAATTAAAATCAAATGGTTATTATTAAAAAGGCAAATTTATTGAAACATGTTGAATCAAAACAAATCATGTAAAAAAAGAATTACATTTTTTCTGCAGATTGTGTTAAATCAAAATTATGTAAAGAAATCTATTAAAGCAGAATTAGATGTATGAAATTTTAAAAATTGTATAAAGGTTTATATGATTTATATAATATAGAATTTTCAATTTTAATAGCTATGTTAAATTGTTATGGTAAGTTCTACTTACTTTTGAACATTAGATTTTAAAGAACTACGTAATTCTTTTTCTTTTGAAGTATCTGGAAAAAGAAACAAATATTTTACTTTTCATTAATTAAAAAAAAAAATAAGTAAGTAAGTTGGAGATTTTATTGTTATTTGATAACATTAATTCTTCTTGACTTATTTAATATAAAAATTAGAAACAAAATACACACTTTAGTTTCACATTCTGGTAAAAATACATTAAAGTTTTTCAAAAACTAAATAATAATATACATTAATAATTCTACTAAAAAGATGACAACAAAAAAAATAAATTAATAAATAATATGAAAGAAATAGAGATTTGAGTTTTAACAGAAGTAAAGAATTATAAATTCGTATTGCACATGTCATTTTATTATTATTTTAGGTAAATAAATACAATATTTTATAAATAAAGGTTAAATTAAAATTTTAGATTTTATCTTATTTCTATATTTCTCTTATTGAAAATAGAAAAGTAAGAATATAAATTGTTTTGATATTCTGCTTTCTATATTTAAATAATAAGAATATTTAAATTAAATAATTCTAAAAGTTCTAAGACGTGGCTATTTTCAGAGATTCTCCAGATTTATGTAAATTTTTGTTAATAAATACAAAGATTTTGTTAATAAATACAAATACTTCGATAAATACAAAGAAAATACTGAAATAGATAAAAGTCTAAAACTCTATAAATGATTATTATTGTTATTAGCTCAATAAGCATTAACATATTAAAAACACAGACAGAAATATGGAAGATTTCACTTCATATTTTAAATTTCCTAAATGCTTTTAAAAAATTTTTTTCAAAAGTAAAAAGCTAAAAATTTAATTTACATTTTTTTCATAGCTTTTAAAAACTTATCAAATAACTGAAAAGTATATTGGAGTAGATGTATACAAATTAATCTTCATAAAATCATTCATTACTTTTCAAGTTCTGTAGTTTTTTACATCTGTAGTTTATTTTTTCAAAAATATTAAACATAATATTTTGGATTTTGAAAATAAACTTTTTAATCCATATAAAATGGCTTTTCCTTGAGATTAAAATATATATTTTATATATATAATGTTTTACATCAAGTAAAGAAAATAATATCTACTTTTATATTAATCTAAATAAATAAAAAGATTATTATTTTTCCTAATAATATAAAGAAATTATTCTAAAATGATTATCATGACAAAAACAGAAAAATAAAACATAACTTTTCTCTCTTCATTTATGTATTTTTATTCAGATTCTGAATAAAAATACATAATCAAGTGACAATATTACTTTCTTTATTGCTAATTATCACCTTGAAAAAGAAAAAATAATAGAATTTCATATATATAAGTAAGTAGGTATTTATTAAGTCCATTCTAAGTAAACTGATAAAGTAGGTATTCAAATTAAGAAAAAAATGAAATAAAAAAAACTTGTAAATTTGTTTATTTATTTTATGAATTTGTTTCATAAATTTTAAATACTGTAAACAATTTAGAAATTCAAGGATAAATAAGACAAAATTTCTTTAAATTCTTGAGATAACAGACGAGAAGACTTGTAAAAACACTTGATTTTGAATAATGTTTTGAAGATGAGAAGCAAAACTTTTAGAAAATACAGTGGGTGATCGGTTAACGAACATAATCCGTTCCCAGGCTTTGTTTGCTATCCGAATTGTTCGTTAACCGATTATCAATTTACCATAGGTTTTAATGGAAATTTAATTAATTCGTTCTGGAGACCTCCCAAAATGAAAAATATATACTTTCTTACTACGTTTATTTATATGTAATAATAAAAATACATACATACATAGTCTTGCATTTTTAATAGTCATGATTTTTCCGTTTGAAAGGGTTAAAGAATCTGTCTAATGTCGATTGCTTTTCTCTCTTTTTAAGGATTTTTCGTAAGTAACTAATGGCATTGCAATTGTAAAAATCCCCAAGCCTCAACTTGGTTTGGATGCCATTCTAAGACTGTTGTTCTGACATCCTTCCACTCCTTCAAAACATCTTTAATAGCAGATGTTGGCATTAATCCTCTTTTTCAGAAAAAAACGTATCTCGCCGAGTTTCTTGGTGTTATTCATTGAAAAGTTCTTGGCGTTCTTCTGTCGTCAGATCAGTTTCAGGTTCCATTATGAGCTCTTCAATGTTCTTTATTTCTCAGATGTGATTTTTGTTACTCCTTTAGCTACTTGAGTCTTCTTAATTATACAGTATTTTTCTTAAATAAGATTAAATTGCGGCCTACTGTAGACCTGTTCACGTTATACTGTGCAGCAATATTAGGCATCTTCTGCCCACTCTCTACCTTTGCTATTATACTCTCACCTTTCGAAAATAAAAACAGATGCAAAACTTAACAAGTGCGTACCCAACAGTCTCGTGAATACATAAAAGAATTGTTTTGTCAGAAAAATAAAAGACTGGAATTACAAGGGAGAGTTTTAAAGTTCGGAGGAATACTTTTCGATCGGTATATACCGGCTTGAGCGTCGATGTCGATGTCTCCCGCACTTTGAAAAGTTTCGAATTGTTGCCCAAAGACAAGGGAAGATCAATTGGTATTCATTATTTTACGTCACTTCTTCTTGTGTTTGTTCTGTGGGGTGTTCGTTGTCTGAACATAAAAATCTTTGGCGAAAGTGTTCGTTAACCGATCACCCACTGTGTATATATATATATACTTTTATGAAATAATTATAATATCTGTAATGGTATATATATATACACCACTACAGATATTACAATTATTTCATAAAAGTATTTAAAGAATAAAATATATATATATATTTTATTCTTTAAATACTTTAATGAAATACAGTCGACCCTCCCCATAACACAGTAGATATGTTCCACTTTATAAGAATTTCGCGTTGTAGGAATCCTTAAATAAATGAGCCAATCACAGTCTGGCACGTGTGCAGTTTACGGACTACAGCTGTTTGAAAGATTTTCTTCCATAAAATTAATCAATTCTAGACTAATTTGACTCAACATTTCCAAAACACGTATAATTTTTTGGGAATAATCCGTATAAACTATGCTATAAACAAAAAGTTGTAGGATTACTTACTGAGTGTGCATCATTCGACGACGCCATTGCTTAATCTTGTTTTCGTCGCGGAGCAGTGCACCAAACGGTGGACATGTTTTCTAATAAGTTATTTTTCCAATCCTGTCACGACATGAGTCGGCGATGACATTTTACCGCATTTTACAAGTCTCTTTTAGTGTCTTTATATGAATACGATCGCAATTTTTTTGCCACGATATACGAATCTGCATTATATGAACCCGCGTTATAGGGGAGTCTACTGTAATTATAATTATGATAATCAGTCAAAACAAGTGGTGTAAACATTACACTGTGTATGAGTGTCTCATGATAAAAATATTATTTAAAATTAAATATAATATGTGGTTATAATCTGTATTTATAATCTATGTTTATTGTTAATCTGTGCAGGTAATTGTTTTTCACATAAATATTGCCATGTTTTAGATAGAGGTTGTTGTTCTTTAATTAATTAAAGTTGATGCTATTTTCTCTTATTACTGATTCATGAATTTCCAGTGCCATGAGGGTTTGGATATGTTCTATGTTGTGGCATTGTTTGATAATACATGCATTGTCAAAGTCTACTTCCACATTCTGTTCAGAGAAAAACATGCAAGGGCAGTGGCTAGCTTTTTTTCTTAATGTTTTATCTGTGTTCCTGTAGATGCTTATGGAGTGAGCATCTAGTAATACAGTGGGTGATCAGTTAACGAATATAATTCGTTTCAAGACCATGTTTGCTACCCAAATTGTTTGTTAACTGATTATCGATTTACAATAGATTTTTAATGAGAATTTGATTAATTAACTTAAATACGTAGAGTAGATGTCATGCCAACAGTTTTACTGATTTAAGAGAAAAATTCACATAAAAAGGTGTTAAAGAACTTTTTTAAAAAAACGTTTTAATATCTTGCAAGCACTTTTGACATATTTATAAACATCATCTTTCACACGTTCTTGATTAATTTGTTCAGGAGACACCAAACACATACACACAGTCTTGCATTTTTATCAGTCATTTNTTTTTTTTTAAATTTTCAATTACAGCATTTATAATTTTTATTGAAAAATATAAACTACACGAATTTCTAATAAGCGATTTATATAGTACTGTATAATAAAATCGCAATTGATTTGTTTTTATATCGACAGTATTTGTCTTTCAATGTCATTGTTAAAGAAACAATAATGCTAAATGGGCGTTCATGGTATTAATGTTTACGTAAACGTCAATTAATATGATATAACCACAAATAAAATTCAGGATTGAAAAACTAAGCGTATTTGATATCAGAAACACTTAATGATAAAAGAATAGAGATTCCATAACATGTATAATCTGTCTAGTAAAAGCCCAGAATTTTTATTACTGAGTTAGATCGCGTTTTTTTTTTTTTCTGTCTCCCGATAACGAGTGGCTACTGTATTTTCAGTAAACCGTGAATACTTAAAAAGTCTTTGGCTTCTGTAAATAATCAGTCATGAAAGATGATGTTCTTTTATTAAGATTATTCTAGATGTTTTCAGATTCCTTCTTTTTCGCTTCCTCTTGCTTTTGAAGACTTAACACTAATAAGCATCACACGTGCTGCTCGTACTACATTCATGTTTTTGCTGTTAATAGCCTTTCTCCAGCTTTTTTTGTTTGCTGCTTCTAACAAAACTTGGCCTGTCGCATGTATTTCTTTTTCTTCTACATTTTTCTGGTTTAAACTCAGCTGCAGTTATATAATCTTGATGTTATGAACAACTTTCTTTTGTTGTTCTTCAAAATGTTTCTGTGCTCTTTTTTTTCTGTTTCTCTTATTCTTTTAACTTCTTTTCATTTTCCAATTGTTCTGGATAATTTCTATGCACTGAGGGAGCTAATTTCAGTAGTCCTTTGTAATGGGTACATGGTAGGGCTTTGGTCATACATGTTTAGTCCCTCCTTAACAATCAAAAGTGAATTAAGCATTTTTTCCAACACTGATGGAGAAAGTGCCTGGCATGAAGTTGACCCTCTCTCTCATGGGAATGCTGATTTCACTAATTTGGCTATACTGGGATATTTATCATCATCAAGAACTGTTTATTTTTTAATGCTTTGAGATGTGTAAATATTGATTTCAAAATAAAATAATAAATATGAAATAAATATATTTCAAATAATACAGTATAAGTAAAATAATATTTTATTAATGATTTCATAAGTAACAAGGAACTTTTTCCTGCAGATGAATAAAAACATCATTACAATGTTGTTAATCTTTTGGTAAGCTTGTGAAAATGTTTCTCACAAGCAATCATGTGCTGTACTTTTTACAACACTTCGAATATTTTAATTTATTTGGTAAATTTTATATGTAAATATGAATTTACATTTTTGTTTGCTTTTTTAGTCTCTCAATTAATGCACAATTATAATCAGCATAAGAGAAAAAATTAAAAAATGGATATTTTACAAGTAATTACACATTTTATGAAAATAATACTTACTACATGGACTAATTTAATTATATTTGTAGTCAATTTAAACATAGATTTAGGAAGATATAGATGTGATTTAACATTAACAATATGCTATGAAATCATTATTTAACTCAAGTTTATGAAATTATTTAAAGATAAATCAAGTAAAAAAATATTTTTGTAAACGACAACTCCATAACCCGATTGTTAATTAAAACCAAACAATCTGCCAAATTACTGGGCTATAACAAGGATAACTAAATAGTCAGAAACAAAATAATTTGTCTAGTGCTAGGATGTTACACTATTATCTCGTGTTAATTTTAATTATTATATATTTTGAATTTAAAAGCAGCAGCAGTGTTGTCAGCTTGAGAGAGTAATCCCTTCGCCTAGTGTGTTTTCCCCTGCAAAAGGATTTTAGTGATTTTCTTAGAAAACAGCCAAAAGCGCAGGGATGCTTGAAATACTCATTTTTAAACTCCGTACAAGGAAATGTAATTCGGAAGAGGTAGATTTTGGCGAATAATGAAAATATGGCATGAGTACATAACTTTACTCAACACTGGCTTCTGAATTTGTAATGAGAGGGATTTTTTAAGTGCATAAAGGATATTTTTACGTACGTGAAATAAATTTTTGTTTCCTATAACCTAACAACACTGAGTGGCAGTTGCAATTTTGAGTCCCGCTCAGGGCCGCATATTTTATTCCAGAAAATTCTATTCGATAGTCCAATAATTCGGCAGATAGTTTGGCTTTAAAGTTATTTTTGATTTGTCCCACATTAAGCACGTGAAAATGACCAAAAAAGTGAGAAAAGTGAGAAAATGACCTGAAAAGTGAGAAAAGTGAGGACACTTCAGAAAAGTGATCAACTCCAAGGCCTACATAACATATAGATTAATAGTCAGCAGAGACCAAACACTAGAGTATTACCAAACATCAAGTTTCTAAACAAATGGTAATAATTGGAAGCACTCAACAAGAGCTACTATCTATATGAATAATTCATGAATATTTAAGCACTAATCCTGGTATCAGTTGGGTCTGAATGGAGAATTGCAGATTAACAAGAAAAATATGTTACATTTATGGTAAATTTGGTTGAGACAGAAATTTAACACAAATGCATAAACATTAATGGAGAAACTGGACTCAAAGATTGCAGTTTATAGGAGAAAGAATCAACAGCTTACTATATGACTTCTATATCTAAAACTAATTGTAACAAATATTTGCTTAATCAGATCATCATACCAAATGATATAATACTTTGTATCTAAATAAATCTTGCAGCTAACACAGTAATTTTTAAAATTTCTTAAAACATTTGTTTATTTATTAAATTTCTTCCTTTTTTGCTGGATTACTGGTGTTATTTTATCAAATATAAAATTTCTTACAGTGAGGAATTGAAACAGCATAGATGGTAAATTCAACAAATAAATTATCTATGCTGTAACATTCAAAATAACTGTGTTATCAAAGTTTACAGCTTAAGTGTTCAGTATAATCCTAATCTTCCCTCTATCCATTCAATCTTCATTTCCAGACATATATTAATTTGAACTTACTAAGATATATAATTATACTGATTACACTACTATGCATATGTAGCTAGAACTATTTCTAAGATTATCAGCACAAAACCTTTCTCACTAATTTCTAGCCTTATTAACTGGAGTACAATCAGTGTACCCGAGGAAGGCCTATTAAGAAGGCCGAAAACGTTTGTACTCCAGTTAATAAGGCTAGAAATTAGTGAGAAAGGTTTTGTGCTGATATACTGATTAATTATCACCATATAAACTAGGGATAGCTATTCTTCTCTGTACCCTCAATATTTTTTAGCTGACACTATTCCATTGTGATTGTGATTGTGTGTGTGTATGTGTGTGTGTGTGTGTGTGTGTGTATACCCTAGTCTGTATTTACTAAAATGTAAGATGCAATCAAATTGAAGACAAACTTTAATTTCTTCACATCATTCATAGATTTTTTTGAAAAAAACAACTCAAGATAAATTTATGTCAACAGAATGTTCTGTTGACAAAGTTGTTCAGTATTTATTGCAAGTAAAATCACTATCTTTCATGGTATCAAAATCAGAAATCTCTTCACTTTCCATGCAATCATCCTTGTGTCATTTAAAGTAGCAGAAAGTTTTTGAGAGAATGCTGCACAACTTTTTTTGGGATTTTCATCCAAGTACATGTTACTGTACTACTGTAGATTAATGAGAATGAGGCAAGTTGATCTTTTAAATATTTGTTATAATGAATATTGGTCTAATAAGATTATTAAAATTATCCAATAGAATTAGTAACAGAAGTAAAATGCATGGCACTAAAAGTCACTGATTATGATGTATTACATTGAATCTAATGGCTTGTTGTTAAGTTTAACACTGCTGCTTTCGCTTTAATCACTGCTGAAAGTATTTTAACAATGCACACATAGCAGTGCTGCAATTTTAAAATGGCAGATCTCGATGCAGCTGTTAAATTTTTTGCAAATTATTTAATTCAAAACATTTTTAAAATAATTCATTTTTGCAATATAAGACTGTTTGAGAGGTAAAATTAATGATTTAAATTTAATGCAAGCAGCTTCTGCAGCATAAAATAAATAGTAAAACATTTTAAATATAAAAGTTTTATCAAATATTTTATTTTATTAATAAGTATTTTAAAAGAAAATTAGTACAAACAGAATATTGAATCAAGGTGATCAAAACGTTACACTTTTATTATCACATCTTATAAGAAATCAACTTTGCACATTTTCCCTGGCGGAGGCAGCCATCTTGTTACAGCAAAAAAAGCAACTGAAACAAGCGCTGCAGATTTAACCTTGAACCAGTGAGACCACTGCGAAGAACACTGTGCACAGCACTTCAAAGAAAATGAGTTCAGCAATGCTCTCAACAGCATCGCTTAGTTTAACAACCCATAAGAGCCATCAAATATAAGACATACATTTTTTTAGATAATAAAACCCAAAAAAAGTGCATATCACAGTCAAATAAATACAATATATACATATATATAATCCAGTAATTTACACTTATGTTTAGTTAATTAATTTAAACATTATTTTTGTTGTAAATAAAACTTTTAAACAACTAGGCTAGAAATAAAGCTGGTTTAAATATTTAAAAAATTTAAATATTTAATCAAAATCTTGAATTGCACACTTAATGTATATTTTTCATTTCTAAATAAAATTCTATTAAATTTAAATAATTTAAAAACATTTAAAGATTTAAACTATAAAAAAAAATTCAAAAAAACTCAACCAAAATTTTCTTAATTTCAGAAAGTTTTAATGTAAGCAAGTGTGTAAAATGAAAATGAAAATGTGCAAATGATTTTGTCTAATAGAAAAAAAATTATTCAGTTTATATGAACTTCACCAATCAAACTTTACAAATTAGAATTTAATCAAAAATACAATGAAACCAACAATCTGCATACTTTCAGAGCTAAAAATTTATCTTCATGAAGAGACAGAACTCATTCTATATTCTATTTTATAGAACGAGTTCGATCTAACATTCTTTAAATGTTCCTTTCAGTTTCAAATTGTTGGACATTTAATTAAATTCAATGAAGCAGTTAATTTGAAGTAACATTTTAGAATTAAAATTATTCTTATGATCAGCAGGAAAAAAAAAACCCCCATCAAATTACAAAATGGCTGAAGTTGTTTATCAACGTCAAAACACATTTCATGCAACGATCCATAATTTGGCAATTATTGGAAACTTTAGAAAGAAAAACTTTTTCAATGGATGCATTCAGTATAGTCAACAGTTATAACTGAGCAAAGATGTTTCAATTGGGATCTGTAACATAGTTACATCTGCCAAACGACAAGTGACATATGCTCGAACATGTATTGTTGGAACAAAAAGCAGCCATCATTGGTCAGTTTCAGATAGCAATAGGTAGCATAAATGAAAGACACTACTAAATGTGACATCAAAATACCAAACATATTCCAAAACAGCACTACTGTAGTGTGTGTTCAGCAGAAAAATACTCAACAGCTCCGGAACTGTTAAGTCTGCTGAACGCAGCCAATGATTGAGAAGTCATCTGTTTGCCACACAATTTTTCAACTATAGTAATAAATTTCCTAAAATTTTATAAAATAAGCCAAGTAAATTATGCATTGATTTTTAAATATCAATACATAATCTGATTTGAATTTCCGATTCACTCAATCTTTAGAATTAGCTTTCATTTTACAGTATTCTGATAAGGTTCATTAATGAAATTAAAACTTTTACGTAGAATAAAGTTTAATTTTTTCTTTCTAAATTTATAAACTTATTTATCAACCAACCAAAACAGATTAGATACACTCGTATTATGAATAATTTTTAACTTAATATCTACCATTGTATAAAGTATTCCTATCACAAAGTCCTTCTTCATCGCTAATTAATATCACTTTCAATTTATGTTCTTTTATTAAATAATTTTCTAATTGTTTAGCTCTAAAAGTTTTACCACTGCAAGGATAACCACAAAGTACGACAAGAGGCATTTTAAAATCTTATCACCATAAAAAAAAAAACATGTGTTACTACAGCGCCTTCTGGCAATGAAAATACGCAAAAAAATATAAATGTACTTTTACACATTTAAAAATTTTATAATTTTACATTTATTAATATTAAAAAATAAAGTAAACTTATTTTAAATAATAATATTTTATCTATCTTTAAAATTTATATATATTATTAATAAATTTTATTATTTAATATTTTCAAAATTTGACTTAAATGATACAAATGTATTAAACTGATTAAATTAGTAATATTAATAAATTAGTAATTTGCATATTAAATTAAAAAATTTAATTTCGTAATTTTTAATTACGAAACTGAAGTACGAAACCGGAGTGACGTAAAAGAAATATCCACATGGTCAGTGCGAGGTGGAAATAGAATAAAAAACGAGTATTCGTTTCTATTTGAAACATATTTTAAGCATTTGTTGAGGTAAAATTATACGTATGAAAATGGCAGATGCAAGTTTAGATGAATTTTTTGCCAAGAAAGATAAAAGTAAGAAGGGAAAATCGGGAAAGTCGAAATATACGACGACCGAGACAATCGCTAAGAAATTAGAAGAAAGCGGAAAGAAAGTGGAAACGTTAACTACTCCGAAAAAAGAAAAAGAGAAAAATAATGTTGTTTCAGACACACAAGCAACATTATCCCTACCTTTATTGGAACAGGTTAGTCTCATTATAATTAAAAGAAAGTCTCTTTCACTCCACCGGATATAACGTTAAAATTTCAATACAATAACTTGAAAAACTTAATCCTAAGTTTATATTTTGTTTTAAAATTATTACCAAATTATGTTTTAATATAATTTTTTCGTCTTTATTTTTTGTCAAATAGCCGGATATCACAAATTTAAGTAAACTGTTACGACTGTCTAAAATGTGACCAACCCTCCATCATATAACGTTATAAATGTTCTAAAATGTAACAAAATACATATATTTTAACAATAAAAGATGATTTTTTTTATTCATTTAGATAAGTTTTCGTGTTACAGGGAGTCTCATTTTGTGTATGATGATGGTGGTGATTTAATTTAACTGATTTAAAAATTTCTGGGTTTAAATCCTGAAAATTAGACTTAATATTTACATAGTAATTTTGTGTGAAATAGTTTATGGCTTATTAAAATTTGTCCCAGTTTTAATGAGGACATAATGTAATAAAAGTACATAATTCATACAAATGATCAATATAAAATAAAATGTATGAATGAAACATGTAATAATTTTATTGTGAACATCAAATTAAATCACACAAATTAATCTTGAATTGAAAGAAATAAAATGAACAATAAATCTGTTCACTTAATGAAAATTATATAAAATCAATACTGTATTATTCAATATCAATAATAATTCATTGTTATAAAATGATTATTGATATCTTATTAACATTAAACAGTGAGCTGTTTATCATTTACAAGAGGTTATTATTACACCAGTAAATATGTAATATGTAAATAGTGGTTATATGGTAAATTGTTTATGCAGTATCATCATTAGCAACAGCTAACATATAATTAAAGTAAGAAATGACAGCAATTTAAACTATTGTATTGCAAACAAACAATGATTAAAACAGTAAAATTTTAACATATAACAATTGCAAGTCACATGTTGAGGTTGATTAGTACTAAAAAGTTGTATTTTAACAACTTAAAAATGTCTATTTTTATAAGTTTGTAAATAAGACTTTGTTTATACTTATAAATATTATGACTGTTTATAAGGTTATAACAAAATAGTTTATAATGGAAAATATCAATATTCGAACTTCTTACTGAAGTCAGAATTTCTATTATAGTTATCGTTATCGGGTTGATTGTTTGGTATTTATATAGCTCTTGTGCCAATATAACTTACATAACTTATTGGGTCTGTATGTACATTTAAGCTTATGATAGAACCTTACAAACATTATAACAGTAAGGTTGTAACCAAGTTTCTAAATGATGCAGCCTTTTTGTTCAGATACAATTATCAATACTGTAATTAAATTTCAGATAAAGCTGGATTTATACAATGATTCACTCTAGCATAGAAACTACTACAAAATCGTAGGAATTGGTAGTCTGAAATCTNAACAGTAAGGTTGTAACCAAGTTTCTAAATGATGCAGCCTTTTTGTTCAGATACAATTATCAATACTGTAATTAAATTTCAGATAAAGCTGGATTTATACAATGATTCACTCTAGCATAGAAACTACTACAAAATCGTAGGAATTGGTAGTCTGAAATCTTACAATCTATTTCATCACAAATTGGAAATACAGTTGAATTTATCTATTTCAAATCTCATGGGAACAAAACAAATTTTGAGATTGGTTTTGAGATAGGTTTATACGTAGGAAACATAATAAGTTTGATTGGCAGTATGGTATTTTATACGATAGCAAGTACAGTACATACCTGGGTTGTGTTCAGTAATGCAGAACACCTAAGTTAGAATTCTGAGTGGCTTAGTGGATGGGGATATGAATGTTCTGAGCTTCATTGAACAATTATTCTTATACAGCTGGGCAAAATGGTGGACGAAGTTAAAATTATGATTGCAAAAATTGTCACAAATGAACTGGTCGAAAAGGATAAAGTAACTAATACAATTATTCAAATGAAAGCTGCATCAGATCATGATGAAATTAATGAAGCAATTATTAATTGTAATCAACGAAATGGACCGCTATCTTCCGTTAGAATGTATTCGGAATCTATTATACCAACGTATGATAATTTTACATTTCAAAGTCATTTTAGAATGAGAGAATAACTTTGTGATTGTTATAATGAAATACGTTTAGTCCAACACGAGCAGCCATCTTGCAAATCGTAAGATGAGACAAAAACAATGACATCACTAGTAGAAGTTAGCATAGATAAAAGAAGCTGACTGAACTAGCTAGAATTCTAGTGGTGGGAGGAGTCAAGCAGTAGTTAGAAAAGAGTTCAACATCGCAGCATAACTAGAGTTAGCAAGAATTCTGCATTCCTGAACACAGCCCTGTAGTAGTTACAAATAAAACATTTTTGACATACCTTAACAGAAATAGTTTGTCAATAGTTTCTGATGCCTGACTTTCTTCAACCAACGAGATGCAAGTCAAACTCATAGCCTTAGCACATCAGTGGCCAAATGGATAAAACCACTGAACACTGGTTTCACTGATCAGAGGTTTGCACCTTGCCAATGATGGGCAGGCTGCATGGAGTTTTCTAATTTTTCTTTGTTTATAACACATAAATAGGGGCCAGTTTCCCCATAGAAAGTGCTCTCAGGAGGCATTCCCTCAGCAGATCATCCATGTGGTGTGTTGCCATAAATAAATAGATCAAATCAAACTCGTTGCCAATCAGATAAAAACAATGTTAATTGCAACTATTATTGTATTGCAAGAGCTGTTTCTACAATTCATGCTTTCAAAATGTAGTCACTGAGCTTTGAATTGTAATTGACACTTCAGTCCATAATTTGAGACAGAGGTTTTGGGAGAAAATTAGTTATGATAAACATGAAAAATATACTGAATTTAGGCTGAAAATACAGGGGAAAAATAAATTTTGAGATAGAAGTTTTCCAGATAAATATGTTTGAGATTAGTTTCAAGTATAATTCACTTGCCATGGTGGATCATCTAACTAATCAGCTTTTAGTATATTTCATCAAATCCTCAAAAGGGAAGGGAAAAAATGGTAAATTCCAGGTAGCAATAGTAGTATTATAGGATAATTTCATTAAAAATCATTCTCAATTTGATGCAGTTTATACAGGAAGAACATAGGAGAAAAAATGGAAAATAAAAATATGTACAAGCTGTATCACAAACAATTATTTCCAATACAGTAGAGCGTCGATTTTACGAATCAATTGGAAAATCGGGTTGTCCGGATAACTGATTTACGTACGAAAAAATAGTTTAACGTATCCGATGTCGAAATTTTTATCCGTTGCGTGTCGCTTCGCGTTGAATTTTCGTCGATGTTAAGCCTAACAAAGACTATTGTATCGTTAAAAATTATTTTTTTATTTTGTACAAACAAAATAAATATATTGAAAAATATAAAAATAATAAAAAATTATACTTCAGATGTTAATTTAGTATCAAAAACGTAAAATATTTGAGTAGCCCAAGACATAGCCAAAGATTGAAGCGCCACAGCACTGGTGAAAATTTAAATTTGCCGACTGGAATTCTTTCAGATGATTGATTTTCGGAAAATCGACGCTCTACTGTAATTGTAAGAATTTTATCATATTTTATTGGTTAGTCATAAGTTGTTTAAACAATTGGACATTTATAGTGGTGATCAGTAGTAAGTATAATAATTTTCTGTGTTCAACCAATCATCTAAGGGCACTTAGTATAGTGGCTTTATAATACAGATAAGCAAATCAATGACATAGTCCTTTTCATTTGAAACTGACTGTCATTGGCTTGCTTATCTAACCATATTAAAGCTGCTTTACTAGGAACACACCTTAAATCAGTATGTATCTGTATTAGATATTTAAATGTGACCTACACAATATGTATTTCCTTATTTTATTAAATGATTTCATAAAATGTTTACAAAAATCTTAGCAATAAAAATTTGATTATATTTTAAGTAATTATCATATTAAGATACAAATACAATTATTAGAACAGAAAAATTGGCAATGGTGTAATTATGATACTTGTGTCATATTGCTTGGAATCTGGTTGTAACAGTAGCCAATCAGAGTAGACTAATGCTTTGTTTATAACTGGATCAATAAGATGTAGCAAAAAAAATGACCTCACTTCTTCAAACATGCCAAGTGAAAAGAGATCATTTCATTTTTCTGATGCTGAAAGGTTTAAAGTAATCCATGAATTATAATCTGAACATATTTATCTGAAATTAGCATCTGGAACATTTCTGATATTAATAAGTTTCCAATTTCTCTGGGTCAAAAATTTTCAAGACTTGAATGACATTTATATGTGATTACAATGTTTATCAATCAACAATTTAGTTTCATTATCACCTTTTTTGAAATTTTTTTACTCAATGTTTTGATAGTTCATAATAAACCAGAAAGTAAGTCAACAGATATATTATTTGATGTGAGACAATTAAAACTAAATTCCAAAAATATTTGTTTTATATAAAATATAAGTTTTCTTTTTGTTTTAAATTAAATACTGTATATTAATTTATAAGTGTAAAATACTCAGTTATGAGTTTATAAATTCTGCTTTTTCATATTTCTATTATGATCTGTTTTCTTAATTATCTTTATGCTGAAAAATTGAAATCATAAATTCTAATAGTTGAAGAAAAGGTTTAATATGATGATGATGCAGTCATATTTCTAATTTATTTAAATTAAGATTAGAGCAACATATCACGATTAAGAAATTAATCTAAATTTACCAGTAACACTATTAATATAGTTTTTTTAGATTTTATCATGAAAATCACATCTTCAAGATTAAGAACATATTTTATGTAATACAGATTCAAATGAAATTCATTTTGACTAATTAAATTGAGAGTTAAATATAAATTAAATAATCTGATGATGACTCACTGAGTTCAGTATGTTTTTAAAATAAAATATTAAGATTTTTTCTATTTAGTTTTTAAAATTTTATTTAAGTTAGCATATGAAGAATCAATAAATAGATTTTCTTTAAAAACAGT